GCNNGGGGGCTCTTTCCCATTTTACAGTTGAAAAAAAAAATAATCTTTATAAAAGTTTCGTTGAAACATGTTTTTAGCCAGTTCACTTATAGACTTTATTTTCCACGAAATTTTATCAATTTCCAAGTTTAACCCTGGAGTTCGATTTTTATTTTTCAAAGTTTGCGATGCGTTTAAACCTGCAATTGATTGAATTCTTTTGGAGTCAAAGACAGATCTACACGTGATAACTTTTCTTTACAATTGTAATCATCGAGTTTGTGCTCAAGATTTCTTATTTTTCAGCCATCTGGGTAATTTTAATACCTTTAACTCCAATCAAATGGTAAGCATCTTATGCGCATGTATGATACTTCTTCACCATTATTATTTACCAGCTTAAAACCAATTTGTTTATTGTTTTTAGAGGATGGTTTCATTGTGACTGAATTATTAGATTCAGCCAAATCCTCAAAGTTTGACAATTCATTGAGAACTTTTATGGATGTTCTCAGATCTGAGATTTCATCCTGAATAGCTTGTCTCTTCTCGATAATTTCTTTGCTTCGAGGTGACAATAGCAATTTTGTAAATTCATCTTCAAGTTCTTTAATTTTCTTGAATACTAATTCACTGTTACTGTTTCCAGTAGATTCGTGGATCAAATCCTCATCTGGTGTCCTGGCGGGGAAGCCATGTAGAGAATCAGAGGGTTGTGGATTCTTTACAGAATCATTAATAGTAGTTGATGGTTTAGTTGTTTGCAAGGACATTTTTAATTAGATGATATTGATCCGGTGTATTAAAGTATAAAATATACACATGGGAATATAGTACATATGATAAGTGTCAATTAAGATCTTATCAGTCTTTATATACAATGTTTAGATATTATTCACACGTCAGAAGTAAATACTTTCGTATTAGAAACATTTCTTTATCCCTTATTAATAATGATGTTTCATATAATTCTTCACCCTTATTAATATTGAATTAATGAGTATGACTTTACGTCATCTCATAATTTCTGACAGATCCAGTGTATTAAAGTATAAAATATACACATGGGAATATAGTACATATGATAAGTATCAATTAAGATCTCATCATTTCTTATATACAGTGTTTGAAAAGTTTTCAGCGTCAGTAATAACACTTTCGTGTAAAGTAACATTTCTTTATCCTATATGAATAATGTCGTAATACGTTTATATCACGTGTTACCTCATAATTCTGACAGTTTCCCTAGATAAATACTTAATACATTAATATTTAATATTCCGGACCAAACAATACAATGTCAGAATTTTGAGAATTGTGATTTTTAAGGAAGCATATTTTTTCACATTTCCGAAGAACTCATCCTTGTTAGCTCAGTTGGTAGAGCGTTCGGCTTTTAAACAATTCCAAGTTTAAACCAAGGATACCGAAATGTCAGGGGTTCGAGCCCCCTATGAGGAGTTCTTCTTTTTTAAATTTTTTAACAGTATCAATAATATATTGGTGTTATTTTTTTTAGAACAATAATTAACTAGTAGGCACTCTGAAGAAATGAATACCTCAATCTCAAGTTTCAATGATTCAAGAATTAGTCTAAATTTCTCAAAATAGCATCCGTTTATTTCCTGATGTAATAAATTACACGCCATTTAATACGCAATCGAACCGAATTCATTCCGAAGGCCATGTTAATATTTACATCAGGAAAAAATAAAAAAAGTCTAGTGATAAAAAAAAATTGGAACACGAAAGATCTATGATGAACTAATTAAAAGCTTTAGTCACCTTCAATATCATCTTGAATTGTAATAATTCTAGCATTGAATCCATTGATCTTAACCAAACCCATCGCCTAGATATACTGGTAAAGTTTTTTTAAGTCAAAGTAATAAACATTACATAATTGAGTTATTATTGCATTTCATCATTGTGAAAGCATCCAATCCAAGGATAGGATATAAAAATACTCTGAAGGATCAATCATAGCTAACAAGCTACTTTGAAGAGCATTGGTGTCTAATTGAGTTTTGAACTAGCCTATTCTGATAATATACTTTTACTGAATCTAATATTACAATGCTCGATATAAATGTTAATAATATTTTCTTTAAATCCTATTCAGTGGATCCAAATACTGGTCATTCAATCTATGTATTTGATTCGACGTATCTTCCATCGCCAGAAGAAGTTGGTGATAAGCAAGTTTTTGATTTGTTAATTGATGAGCTGATGGACACGTTAATGGCCAAATTACCATCAGCACCATATTCTTTAGTTGTATTTTCTTCTGGGTTTTCCAACAAGAAGATTAGTTGGGTTTATGGTATTAAAATGTTCTCCAAGTTACCACAAGAATCTCGTGTTTTTCTACAGAAAACCTACATTGTACATGAATCATTCTTTATAAGGACCGTTTATCAGGTGTTATCCAATGCAATGAGCATAAAATTCCTCGGTTCAAGCTCCAATTCTACGGATTCTTCATCCAACGAGAATACTTCAGCATCTTTGATCCATGTTTCAGATTTAACCGGATTATCTCATCTTATTGATATTACAAGACTTAGAATATCGTTAAACGTTTATATGCATGATTATGAACTCTCAGAATATATTGATGTACCCAGCGAATATTTTGGTAGATTGACCACACTCGGCAATAGACAATATCGACAATTAATATTTGACAAAGTTTTTAAAAGGTTACAATTAGAGGGTATCAACTATCCTATGGTTTTCCAAAAGCCGGGATCATATAAAAAAGTTAACATTTTGTTAGATATAATCGAGAGAAGCAATTATATCGACCTTTCACAATGGGATATTTATTCCTTAGCATCAATTTTTTTGCATTTCTTGAAAAATAAATCAAAACCTTTAATCCCAATAGACTTTATTGCATTACCGATAGTTGATGATTTTGATTATACATATGCAACGTTTTTAAGAATAATTCATTACAATGAATACTATGAGTTACTGGCCGCTATATTTCCATTGTTCACATCATTTTTAGATAACGAGGACCATACAAAACACAATTCAAAAACATTAAGCAAGGCCTTGACTCCTACTTTGTGTAAGGAAAAGATTTCAATATTGAGCTCTGATAGATTATCAATTGGGACAAGATATATAAAAAACTTGTTAGAACACTTCCCATCTATTCTGAATCGTATAGAATCTTCCACTAGGTCTCCAAGACCAGTTTCTACAATCGACTCTACAAAATTGAAGCAAAGAACTATATCAGCCCCAATAACGTCTCCAGTAGCTAAACAACCCGTACGTGTTGCATCACAAGGGTTACCACCTCCAGCATTACCCAAACCAAGAAAATTGAGTCCAACGAGAAGTGAAAATCGTGATACGAGTCCAACTAGGAGCATTAGTCGTAGCACAAGTCCTATCAGAACGTTACCTCCATTACCAGATAAAAAGAAACCTACTGAAAACGGCAATGCATTATCAAACATACCAGTGAAGTTGCCACCATTAAATATCAGCAATATACCAAGTCTGAAACCTGAAACTTCCAATAACGAGACACGTTCTGAAAAGACAGTTCGTATAAGTAGTGATTCATCTAGTATTTTAGCCGATGAAAGTTTGACGGACTCGGTTTCCAACCGCAGAGAACCAGGATCACCAACTGCACCTTCTGAAGCTATCAAAGAGATGGTTCAGGACAAACCAGCAAATGATGACGACAATGATGAGATCAACAATATTCTGAAGAGTGCGTCTAAATTGACATTAGAGCATAACGAAAAGATTTTGACGTTTGATAAAGAACTGAAAAAGAAGAAGAAATTAGAAGAAATCAATAATACAACAAATCACAGTAAATTTTCTGACGATGGTTATTCTGGAATCAAATCCGGAAGTAAGGTGGGCAGACTTGCAGCATTATACGAAGAGAGGGTACAAGGTATCCAGATGATGAATGAAATGCAAAAAAAGATGAATAATGTATGATTCAATTTCACCATTCTATAGTATATTTGAAGAATACAATTAAACATCTGACCATAATGATCATACCGTACTCCCATCGGACAGAAGCAGCAGCTTTCAAACGAATTCAAGGAAAATTCCAAGTAGATGCATTCTATATAGACAATCCTTATATTATACCACAGCATGTTTAAAACCATCAATACCACCATATATATATATATACTTTCATTCAATATAATAACACATACCCTTCATCCATCCATCCGTTCTTTGCTTCCTTTCTTCCTTATACTTGACCTAGTTAATAAGAACAACGGTCTCTTGCCTCTGCCAAGTAAATCACATTCTGTTTCTCCCATTTTTGCCGCCAAGCTCATCCTCTCTATTAATTAAAATAGAAAATGTCACAAAACGCACAAAACCATCAATTACTAACATTCCCCCACATTTCTTTTTTTTAACATCTCTCTCTGTTAATTTTCTTCGCTATCATTCTTCATTACGTCATCGTACATCACATTCCACGAGTAATATGGCTTCCACAAATAATTATCACTGGTCACGATAATATGTTTCATCAGTTCGAAACGCGAAATCTCGTAAGTTTCGAAATAGCATAAGCTTTGAGATCCAGAAAGATAAGAAGAAAGAAGAGTCAAGCTGAGGCATGTTGCAGTTATAGACAGAATATATATTCTTAATCACATCTTTTATAGCTACTTGTTGGTGATTGACAATACTGTAATTTTGCTTTCTGGTAAATTTCCTTTCCCTTGGAGAAGAGACATTGCGATATTCTCCGAAACTTAGGTTGAATTTTTAGATTATATTCTTCTTGGCTGAAGACCTATATCATCTACTTTAACATTCTTTAGATTCAGTTCATTGAATTTAGCGGATTGTGTATTGATCAGGTGAACAGGGTTCTTAATTTGGCTGAGGATTTAGTTAATGCCCAAATTATTCAGTGTTATTAATCTATATATACAAGAACAAAAATATACTCACATATATATCCATTTGAGAATCTAAACAAGAAAGTAAAAAAGTGAACAACCAAAACAAATCATATGGACCGCCTGACAAGAGATTCTTCTATCAGTGCAACCACTCCATTATTTATGGATCATGAGTCTAAAAAATTTGATAGCATATCTCCTACTAAGCCACTAGATTTTAGTAGGAAAATGGTAGGATCGGGATCCATTCGTAGTATAGGTTCTATACCCAACAATAATGATTATCAGCGTTCAGGTTCAAGTAGCACTATTGCTACTGCAAATGAATCCTTTACAACAGCCCACTCTTTTGTCACAGACAATATTCAGAGCAAAACAGCAAAGGATTATTACCAAAACAATAACCAGTATACAGATCAACAAAGGTCAAAACACGATTTTAGAAATCTATTAAATACTACAGGGTCTAATAGCAGTGTCAATAGAGATATGAACTATAATAATGACAACGATGATACCACTCCATTGGTACTGCCGAGACCAGTAATGAATAATGAAGATTATGACAGGATAACTCCCAAAGCTGGGAACCAGAGTGTTACCTCATTGGGGACATCTATGAGTGTCGGAGAAACTAGTGAGAGACTAAAAGGATTAGGATTATACAACAGTAGAGAAAACCTTAATAATGGAAGCAATTTGGTTAATAACCAGATGCAATCTTCCCCTGTCAAAGCTATTAGAGTGTCTAGAATTATCAACCCATCTCAAAACTCTATAGGCAATGGCGTATCTTCAATGCTTCCCCAGCCTACAGAGTCTAGTGAGATAGAATCTTCTCCTGTAAAGACAATCAATGATAGTATTGGAGAAGATAGCTTTAATTTTGAAACGACTACCGATTCGATGGAATTAATGACAAATGATTCAATAAATGAAACATCTTTTAAAGATTATTCCAGCTATCAAGAGTCTGGTTTAGTTAGAGACTCATCGATTAATAGTCTAGATGAACAAAGTTTTGCGTACTTATTTATTGTAGCAACACACTCTTTTGACCCAAATTCTTTACAAAGTGCTGAAGATGCTTCTATTTGTTTACCATTTAAGAAAGACGATGTTGCTTTTGTACATAATGTTGATGAATCCGGTTGGGGTGAGGTAACCTTGGTCAAAAACCAATTACGTGGATGGGTTCCATTCAACTATTTTTCAGATATTATTCGTGTAAACGATACGCCATCTTTAAAACCTGATGATTATAGATATCTCATTGATACAAGGAAACCTCTGGAAAAATTATTAACAAATAGTGCAAAATTTTTACTCAATCCTCAGGACACACGTTTATTATCATTATCGGAGCGCACATTCAATATCAATTATATCAACTCTGTAAGAGATGGTGTCAAGTCATTACTTGAATTGACCAATTGTGTTTCACGTTCCAACCAACTTGTTCAAACCCAAAGTGTAGTAAGAAAAGCACGTAAAAAATTATTGGCTGATTGGTATACATTAATGATCAAGGCTGACCACTATAAGAATACATCCTCGGAAGCAAAAATCAAAAAATTAGTTGATCTAGTTTTTGAAGTATTAAGAAGATCTTTTGCATTTTTCGCAATTTGGTCAGTAGAAAAGGTTAAATTTGAAAGTAGTGCTCAAAGTAGATCACCAAAAAGATTATCACAGGATGATGCAAGTTCGTTGAGATCTAGATCCAGTTCTAGCTCTAGAAGTCGCCAAATGTACTACCTTAATACCCAACCAACAGCAATTGGGAGATTACATGAAATTTATGATATCTTATTCACGTATATTGGTCTAATCCTAGGTAGGCTAGATTTGATTGAACGTAACCCTACAGGGTGTGAAACGTTGGAATTTATTGTCCACCAAATGATTATATTACTTCGTGAACTATTGTTTATCAGTAAATCATGTTCCTCCATTCTTCAATCAAAATATGATGATGCTTATGAAAACACATTAGATAAAAGTTTGGATCCGCTGCTTTCTCTGGTATCTCAATTGGTTTCTTGTATCAAGCTTTTAGTCACACAGACACTGAAGGAAAATGGAAATTCAGACCAAAGTATTCAAATTAAGCAAGACTTTTATAATTCTACGGAGAATGGGAAACAATTGATCTTGATCGTATCTAACATGACCTCATTGATTGCTACTACTATCACAGGATGCAACAATTATTTAAGAGTTATCGGCGATTTTAAGCTTGGTTCTGATAGAAGGTATCCTGATTTAAAAAAAATAAAGATCACACCTGATAAATTTATTGAAAAGTGCTCTTCGGGTTTGGTACGTAAGCTGGGAAGAGATTCACTAAGAAGATCACTTGAAGTAGCAGAGGATTTAAAACCAAGTAATAAAAGCCCAAAGAGAAGAGTTTCCCGCTATTCAAGCATTAGAGCAGGTACTAGTCATGAATTAGCGTTTACTTATGAAGGTACCCAGTTTTTGAAAGAAATAACTCCCGATGAACCATTTTCAAAAGATGCTGTATTTGATAAATTCAAACTTGACGATTCCCTTGCATTTGGTAAATTACCATTGCCTGATGAAGGAAACGATTTACATAACAGAGAGGTAATGCAAAATGAGATAATGTATAGTAATGACGGTGATATAATTGGGATTTCCTTCAGAGCATTGGTGTATAGATTAACCGACGAGGTTGACAAGGCGGATGACTATTTCACCTCAACCTCGCTTCTTAACTTCAGAAGTTTTGGGGAAGTAGTCGATCTAATTGACCTATTAATTTTAAGATTTGATACATCTAACAAATATAACTTGGTATCACACAATGAAAAAGCTGGCAACTACTCATCCAAATCATCTCGTCTAAAAAATAGGAGAAAACTGGTTTGTAAAATTTTTCAAACATGGATGGAAAGCTATTGGAACCCTTCAACAGACTTCGAATACTTATCGATAATGATTAATTTTTTTAATGAAGGTGTTTCAAAATATCTACCATTGGAATCCAAAATTTTAATAGAATTGGCAGCACGACTTCTATTATTGCATGAAAACACTGGGAAAGGTATCTCAATATCACAAATTAATGATCAGTTGATACCGAGAGATATTGTTCAGCATAAATCTACATCAGTAATCTCAGATTCATCATCAACATTTTCTGGTAACAGTAGGTCTTCTATTTTTTCAATAGATGAAAAAATAATTGAAGAATATGAGTTAACTCATGTTACTGCTCCATCAAATCATACCTCTATTTCATTACCAATCCCAGTTTTAAATTTAGGAAGATCTGCATTACTTTCGAAATATAATATGCAAGATATGGAAAGATTGGTGACCATTTATAGATTCGTCTTGAACAATGCTTCTTTGCCATTCTCTGAAGTCTATTTCGAAGCTGAAGAAGATTTAAATGTTCTAATAAAAAATTGGAATTATCTTTTGACTGTAGATAAAAGCACTACTTCGAATATTGTACACAATGAGTTGAACTTAATCAATTTAAATCCATTGGAAGTAGCTAAACAATTGACTTTGATTGAATCAAAGCTATATATGTCAATCGAACCTTTTGAGCTGGTGAATGAAAATTACCTAGAGAAAAAGTCCAATTTAAATGTAGCAATTCACGTCAGAATGATTATGAACTTCACCAATCAATTATCACATTACGTTATGGAGTCAATATTGTCTCCAGAAATTAACAATAATGATCGTGTTAACCGACTAAGAAGTTGGTTGAAGATAGCTCTTTCTGTATTGTATTTCAGAAATTATAACTCTGTGGCTTCTATTATGACAGTTCTTCAAAATCATGCTATTACAAGACTGACATTTTTATGGGATTTATTAGATGAGAAAGACACAGAACTTTATGAATATTTGTCCAGAATTGTTCACCCAAACAACAACTTTAAAGTCTATAGGAACAAATTGAAGAATATTATGAATGAGAATTTACCAAATGGATTACATGCTGCTAAATCAGCATTGCCATGTGTACCTTTCTTTAATTTATTTTTACAAGATTTAACTTTTATTTCAGAAGGTAATAGTAACTTCAGAAATCCCGATTCATTCAGACCAAATAAATTAATTAATATTGATAAATACTTCAAAGTCACCAAGACGATTAGTACAGTTCAGTATTTCCAAGTGGCATATGATGTACAAGAAGACCCAAGCCTGAGTCAAAGGGAATCGTTTTTCAATATCCCTGAAACCATAGATGTCGATACGAACAATATCACCCCTGTACCATTATTACAAGAGTTTATCCTTTTCGAATTCTGGAGAGTGAACACACTATACTCAAAGGGACAAGATAGAGGTTATGAACTGAGTTTAAAGATTTTAGAACGTTCCTGATAGGGTTCGATTTCTACCAACAATATTATTTAAGATGTGCTTCAAAAACACTTACTATTAACGGTAATAATAGTTGTAATTTTATATTATTAAAATGTAACAGTATTAAATATAAATATATCAATATATATATCAATCAATGTAGTTTATTAATTTTAGAACATTGAACACTTAGGTACAAATGCTTTTAAATATTAGTTTTCATTATGCCGTTTTTGTATATCTAATAAATATACTAAATAAATAATTAATAATAGGTAATGAAGTAAAACCCATATAAATAAGATATATACATTAATGATCGTTTATCAGTTTTTCAATTCTCCAATATAATTAATAGCAGAACCAGCTCTGAAGAATGCTATTTGATCCTTTGACATTGTATGCTTTGCCTTGATTATAAATGATTTCCCTTCAGGCTTCGTTATCTTAATATCCAAAGTTCCACCATTATTACCTTCTTTTGCTATCATATCTATCAAATCCAAAGTTTCAATAACATCACCAGAAGAAAGTTTATCGTAATCATTTTCATTGGCAAAAGTCAATGGTAACATACCTTGTTTCTTTAGATTTGTTTCGTGGATTCTTGCAAATGACTTAACTAATAACATTTTTCCTCCCAAAAATCTTGGAGACAATGCTGCATGTTCTCTAGCAGAACCTTCACCATAATTATGTTCAGCAACAACATTCCATGGTCTCCCTTCATCCTTCCACTTCATCATCAATTCTGGGATTTCATATCCGGTACCATCCAAATCATATGCCTTATTAACTTCATCCGTTTCTTTATTTTGAGCACCAATTAAAGTGTTATATGAGATATTTTCCAAGTGTCCCTTATATTTTAGCCAGACACCAGCGGCTGAAATATGGTCTGTCGTACATTTACCCTTAACTTTTAAAAGTGTAGTAGTTTTTAATTCTTGACCATTCCATGGCTCAAATGGAGTTAACAATTGCAAACGATCCGATTCAGGAGAGACATCAATATTGACACTTGGGTTTGGTTTTGGAACAGCAGAAGGAGGATACAGAGAATCTCTTCCATGTTCAAAGCCTTTTTGAGGCAAATCACGACCTGTTGGCGGAGTGAACTTAAAACTTTTGCCATTTGGAAGTGGGATTGAATCAGTTAGTGGATTGAATTGAGCATCACCTGAGTATGTCATAGCGGTTACGATTTCTGGTGAAGTTAAAAAATTCATTGTATTTTTATTACCGTCATTTCTTGCTCTAAAATTTCTATTAAATGAAGTAAAAATTGAATTTGGTAATTGAGTGTCTTTTGGGATATCTTGTCTATCCCATTGGCCGATACATTGGCCACAAGCATTTGACAAAACTATAGCACCGTTTTCTTCGAAAATTTTAGTGATACCATCTCTTTCAAGAGTAGCTCTAATTTGTTCAGAACCAGGAGTGACAAAGAATGGAATTTTTGGTTTTAAGCCTGCTTTTGAAGCTTGGGTGACTAAATCGATGACACGGGTCATATCCTGATATGAAGAATTCGTACAAGAACCAATTAAACCTGCTGATATATTCTGTGGCCATTCATTTTCAATAGATTTTGGACCATATTCTGAAATATTCGTTGATAAGTCAGGTGTGAAAGGTCCATTAACACTTGGTTCTAAAGTTGATAAATCAACTTCAATAACTTTATCATAATGAGCACCTTCATCTGATTTCAACAATTGGAATTCATTTAATGCAATATCGGCGTATCTTGATACAGAATTTCTACCTGTGGCATCCAAGTAACGTTTATGAGCCTCCGTGAATGGGAATAGAGAAGTAGTTGCCCCAACCTCAGCACCCATATTACAAATAGTGGCCATACCTGTACAAGATAAAGATTTTGTACCTTCACCAAAATATTCTATGATATAGCCTGTACCCCCTCTAACAGTTAATAAACCTGCCAATTTGGTGATTACATCCTTTGGAGAAGACCAACCTGATAGTTTACCCGTTAATTTAATACCCAACACTTTTGGTGTCTTTAATTCCCAAGGGATGCCTGTTAACGCATCAACAGCGTCAGCACCACCGACACCAATTGCGATTGCACCTAGGCCACCGGCATTAGGAGTATGGGAATCGGTACCTAACATTAATAAACCTGGGGCTGAGAAATTTTCTAAAATGATTTGATGAATTATACCAGAACCAGGTCCCCAAAATTGAATACCGTATTTATCAGCACAGTTTTTCAAGAAATTAAAAATTTCCTTATTAGTAATTATAGATTTCTCTAAATCTTTAGATTCACCATCTTTGCCAACGATTAAATGGTCACAATGGATTGAAGAAGGTACTGCGATTTGTTGTAGACCTGTGTTGATAAATTGTAGCAGGGCCATTTGCGCAGAAGCATCTTGCATGGCGACACGATCTGGAGATAATTTTAAATATTCGTTACCACGAAGATCGTAAATATTTGTCGTTGGTAGAGAACTCAAAGTTTCGTCTACATCACTTAAGTGTGAATATAATATTTTTTCAGTCAGAGTTAATGGTTTGTTATTAGTGAATTTGTTAATTTTTTGTAAATTTTCCAACATTTTAGCATATGGAGGGATTTGAATATTGTAATTGTTAGAGGAACTGTCATCCGGGTTGTTATAAGTAGCAGGGAAGATGTCATGTAAGCTTGATGAAGTTGCCATTAATCTGTGACTAGATCTTGAATTGAGAGAGCATCTTGATACAAGATGACGATTTGATCTTGACAACATTTTATACCAGCGAGTTTTAGAATATTGGGTTGATTTAAACTTGGCATGGGATATATAATTTGTTAAGAGCAACAAGAGGTGAAGGTGAAAAGGATGTGAAGTAGGAAGTAGGGTTTATATATAGAAAGATATTTTGTAAATTGAAATGAATCAACACTTGTGAGTAATAGTCATCTTGAATGAGTCTAACAAGCGATGGAAAACGAGATGGAAAGCGAGTGAGTTCCATAGGTATTAGTGTGAGTGGTCTCTGAGGCTAGATGGGAAGGGGGGAGGGGGAGGGGGAGGAGCTGTAGAGAGTCAATGAAATGAGGAAGAGGAAAATTCCTTGTGAAAAACACGACAAAACAGAAACAGAAACAGAGGTTGCAGTCGATGATGTCTGAATTTCCGATGGAATTGTGCAATTGAAGTAACGGGCAGGAAAGACAAAGCCAGAGACAAGGAGGAGGGAGAGAGAGGAAAAATTCAAACTTGATAATTTTTTGTTCGTTGGCAAACATTTATCATCACGTGATCTATTGTATCACGTGATGTCATGTGAAGTGAGATTATAGTGTGTCAGTAAGCTTGATTTTATTGTGTTTGGGCTGTTGGTTTGTGAGAGATGTACATACGAAACAGTGTTTCTTGATGGCACGAGTTTGATAGGCTGATGATAGTTTTTGGCTAAAGAGTTGAGAGAGTTTGAGGGAAAGGGAAGGAATGGTTTTGCCAGAGATGTGGTTTATATACGTTTTTATAAATGTGAACAAAAAAAACTAAAATAATGAAAAGATGACACAAAAACCAGAATCCATGACTTTTCATAAATGGATAGAGATATAATACCACACCCCCGCTGACTTGGAACTTACAGCTGGAGAGAGAGAGAGAGGGGGGGAGTTCAGATCAGGTCAGGAACGAAACGAATGTGAGTACACGGTTGAGAAGTTAGCCGCCTGGGTCCATGGCAAGTTACCCCCACTGTAGTCACATGCTGGTGGTGGTGGTGGTGGTAGGATCTTTGTTTCCGATTCCAGTCTCCCCTCTTTTTTCTTTTCTTCAAACTGTTATTGTTACTGGGTGTCAGTCTTTATCTGGTTTCGGCTTTGGCTTTGGCTTTGCCATTTTTTGCAATTAGTTTTTTTTGTGTCGGGCACAAAAAAGTAAAAAATAAAGTGCTAAGAGAAAAGCAGATTTGGACAGACAATACAATAGTTTGAACTTTCAGCAAATAACATTCTGATCACAAAAGCGCAAAGCATAAAGCACAAAACAAAAAAGAAATTGACAAAGCCAAGACAACCAAAACCCAATTTAACTATTGATAAGGCTTCCGTGGTTGATTGGTAGATACATACAATCACAAACAAATTGCTTGATGTTGTTGTTGCTACGCCCGTTGCGCCTGTTTTCTGTGCCACTTCTTTTCTGACCACAAAAACAAAAAGCAAAAGCAAAGGTAAAGGCAAAGGCAAAGGCAAAGGCAAAAACAAGAATAAATTAAATTAATCAGAACAAACTACTCAAGAACAAGAGCAGCGAAAGCAGAACCAAGCGAATAAATGCCTGCAGTGTAAGCCACCCACGTGGGTAGAAAAAAAAACAGTTTGTTTGGCAAGTAAAACAGAGGGAATGAGAAAAAGAAAAGCGGACATTCGAATGGCTAAATCCACAAGATTCCTCTCCCGCTTCCCCTCCCCTTTTTGCTTGAGGTCTGTTGTTCAGACAACAGCACGCACAACCGTCCCGAATCCAAACCCCAGAAGTGCCAAAAAAATGCCAAAAAAGAAACTTTCCTTCACATTGCACTTTTTTTCTTTTTCCTTTTTATTTTTTCATGTTTCTTGAGTTTTTGCTTTTAGCATTTCGAGAAATCAGAGAAACTCTCCCAAGAGCGTACAAAGCACAAGAAAGCAGAGGAAGAGGAAGAGGAAGAGGAAGAGGAAGAGGGAGAGGGAGAAAGAGGCAGTTTTACAAGAACAAGAAGAAACAAAGAACACTATTACTATAACAGCTCAATGACAAATATATATCAAAAAAGAAAGCTCATTCATTCATTTTAAACTATATGATGAAAAACCTACTTAACGTTAACATTAACGTAATATACTGTAACTTAAAGGTTCAAATCAGTATTGGAAAAGGATAAGTGAGAAAATAGTAAAGAAAAATTTTCTTGTTGTTCTTTTAGTGATTGGACTTTTCAGTAGATTGCTATGGTATTGGTAAAGGATCATTATAAATTGATATAAGTAGATATACAAAATTTTTTAAAAATCACACCAGTTAGTTTTTTCTTTGTAAGATATTAATTAATTGCTTTGGAGAAATATTTAATACATATTTGAAATTTTCATTGAGGGAAAAATATAGGAGTAGGATCAGGCAAGTAGAGAAAGGGATAGTAGTATATTTTAAAATTGCAATGAGGTTCTCACATTTTTTAAAATATAATGCTGTGCCAGAATGGCAGAATCATTATATGGATTATAATGAATTGAAAAATTTAATTTATACATTGCAAACCGATGAATTGAAGTTATCGGATACTGGCAATGCTGTCGAAGAAGAAGAGGTATCAGGATCTAAGGATTTTTTTTCAAAGAAGATCAGGAATAAATTTCTGTCAGGGTCATCAAATAAAAATAAGAATTCAAAGACTAAAAATGATGATCTAGCAAATGAAGAAACAATTGAATTAGAAGACTTGAATACAAGTACCAATGTCACTACTACAAATAATAATAATAATAATGAAAATAATCATGGCAATTCCCGCTCTAATTCTAATAATAAAAAGACTTCGAATTTCAAGAAAGTTTTCAAGGACAAACTGTTCGACAATTCTCGTCGTTCTTCTGCTTCAAGTGAGGGCAGAACTTTGTTCAATACCTATGAGGCATTTGTTGCTAATTTGACACAAGAAAAATTAAAAGTTGACGATTTTTACAAAAGATTGGAATCAAGGTTTTTTGAAAAGTTTGATACTTTAATCAAGGATTTAGAAAAAGAAGGTATTATATTGACTCACCAAAGATCCTTCGAGAGTGCTACTGATGATTTGTCAATCAATAACATTAACAATCAAAAACAATTATCTGTTATTCGTACTAATGAACTGGAATCAAGGAACGATTTTTATTCGGAAGATGATATTGATGAAGATATAGACGATGAGGAATTTGAACCTCAAGATAATACTGCTTTATTAAATTACTCTCAGTTTAATATCAAATCTCAAAAAAAGTCTTTGTTAAAACAATCAATTATAAATTTATACATAGATTTATGCCAATTAAAGTCTTTTATTGAATTGAATAAAATTGGTTTCACCAAGATAACTAAAAAAGCCGATAAAGTTTTACATTTGAATACAAGAAACGAATTGATTGAAAGTGAAGAATTCTTCAAGGATACTTATATTTTCCAAAATGAAATTCTAGCTCTTTTGAATACGAAGATTTCTCAATTAGTGGAATCTTATGCAATTATAACAAATAATAACGCAAGTATAGAAACTTCCAAATTAGAATTGAAACAATTCCTACACGATCATATCGTTTGGGAAAGAAGTAATTCATGGAAAGATATGCTAGGTTTATCCTCATATACAAATCAAGATGAAGATAACGGTAAAAATCAAGAGAAGAATTCAAAATTATTGTTAGAGTTTTATGAATTCCCATTACCAATAAAGATTGATATTAAAAGACCAAAAATTCAAATTAATAATTTATTAGTCCCAAAATTATTCTTCACTAGAAAGGCATTTAAAATTGCATTTATTTTTGTCGTCACAGCTATTCTTTTAGGTATTAAAACTTTCAACGATCCTGCCCAACATCGTTGTATGGCTTTAGTCGAATGTGTTGCTTTCTTATGGGCCAGTGAAGCTTTGCCATTATTCGTTACTGCTCTATTGGTCCCATTGTTGACTGTCTTATTTAAAGTTTTGAAAAACAGTGATGGTTCAATTATGGATGCAGCTACGGCTTCCTCAACAATTTTTGCATCTATGTGGTCTTCTACTATTATGATTTTATTAGCTGGTTTCACTTTAAGTGAAGGTTTATCCCAATATGATATTGCTAAAGTTCTGGCATCTTGGCTATTATCATTTGCTGGTATCAAACCACGTAACGTTCTATTGATGGCCATGGGTGTTGTTTTCTTTTTATCTATGTGGATTTCAAATGTCGCTGCTCCTGTGTTAACTTATTCTTTAATGAAACCATTGTTAGACCAATTAGATGCAAACAATCCATTTGGTAAAGCATTGGTGTTAGGTGTTGCCTTATCAGCAAATATTGCAGGTTTTTCTTCACCAATTTCATCACCACAAAATATTATCTCTATGCAATACTTGAAAGAGTATGGTATTGGATGGGGTCAGTTTTTTGCAGTAGCTTTACCAGCAGGTATTTTGTCTTTGTTCTTAGTCTGGGGTTTAATGTGTTTAACATTTAAGATCAATACGACTAAGATCGAAAGATTTGTTCCAATCAAGACTAGATTTACTTTGAAACAATATTATGTTATCTTTGTCACTTTAGGTACTATTATCTTATGGTGTGTTGAAGCACAGATTGAAGGTGCATTCGGTTCTTCTGGTCAAATTGCCGTTTTGCCAATGGCTTTGTTATTTGGTACTGGTTTGTTATCTACAGGTACTTTAAACACATTCCCATGGTCAATTGTTGTTTTGGCGATGGGTGGTATTGCATTGGGTAAAGCAGTCTCTTCATCTGGGTTGTTAGCCACTATTGCTGGTGCACTACAAAGAAGAATTGAACATGATAGTGCGATGGCTGTTTTATGTATTTTTGGTGTTTTAATGTTGGTTGTAGGTACCTTTGTTTCCCACACTGTCTCTGCTATTATTATTATCCCATTAGTTCAACAAATTGGTGAAAAGTTAAGTGGTGCAAAATCAGCCCCAATTTTGGTTTTTGGTTGTACTTTATTGGCTTCTGCAGGTATGGGTCTAGCTTCATCTGGTTTCCCAAACATCACAGCCATCTCGACATTAGATCGTTATGGTAATCCGTATCTGGATATGATGACATTCATCTCAAGAGGTGTCCCTGCATCCTTGATTGTATTTGTATGTGTCATTACCTTGGGTTACGGTATTATGGCTTCCGTATTGAGCCCATACTCTGGATCTTAATCGAACCCCTCCCTCCCCCAATCCAAACAAAATAATGAATATCTGTGTATTAATGTCGATGTCCTAATTTCAATTTCTTAACGTCTATATCATTTTCCTATCGGCACTTCACTTGCATTATCAGTCATTCATTCATTCTTCCATCTATTAATTCAATTTCTGGCATTTCAACGGGTTACCTTGCAAGGTAAACCAGCCCTCAAATCCTGGGTATATAATCTTTAAACATGGGTACTACGTAAATATTTTATAGAATTGATTAAACGATTAATATTATCTCATTTAGCATTCATTGATCCTTAGATAAATAACTATTTAAAAGATTTCACTGCTCTTGTACGCAGCTTTCACTGGCGATGAGCTTTTTTAAGAATAGGCAATTTCAACAAATTTTGACAAAACTGAAAAAAGTTGATCAAATCAAAGCCATCGAGTATAAATATAAGCAATAAGAAGAAGGCATTAATAAGATTAGTTGAAGGCTAGTCAAGGAGGTTTTATTTGTATGAATAGGAGAGTTTGGTAGTTGGTATCTAAATTGTTAAGATTGTAGGTTATTGTGTTGATACCTTTTCCTCTTTCCCATTCCCCTGATTTTATTTTTTTGGTAAAGTTAGAATTGTAAAGTTCGAAGGAAAAGATGTCAATTGAAATGGATAATGACAGTACAAGTGATCATTCTTTAAGTTCCATTTCTAGGAGGTCAAGTTATTTGAATGTGTCGGATGGAGATGACGTGACTGGGGACGTAGTTCCTGTTGAATCCATGGCTTCGACTGCTGAATGTTTGATGAATAGTAAATTGGATGAAAATATTGAGGTAAAACCAGGTTTGCCAGAATACCCAGAGATCACTGATGAAGTCATACCATCGTTACCTGAACAAAGGCATCTGGTGTTGCAATTAGCTAAAGAGGCAGATGTGAATGCCAAGGAAGGGGATAAGGTATATATAATTCCTCAAAGGTGGTACGATAATTTTATGGATCCCGATATTCAAGATTTCAATCAGATAGGATCAATTGATACAAATATAATTTGTAAAGATTACGATAATTTTATATTGAATGACTATGATGTAACACCATATCTATCGATTCAGGAATCTGTTTTCGAAAAGATATCTTCGTGGTATGGATTAGCGCCAAATTCGAAACCAATAGTTACATGCTTGATATATGATGATCAATCGGGGTCATTGGTCACTGAATATAATAGATGTATTTTCAGACTGCATTACTTAACAGAAGACTCAAAAACCAACCAGTATCGCCATCATTTGTCACAGGCTAATAGCATACCTTTTTTTACTCTATCAATGTTAGCAACCGTTAAAGAGTTGATGTCTAAAATATTAAACGTTTTCTATGAAAAAGAATCTCATCTCGATATAGAAAAGACAAAGTTTAAAGTATGGTTTGCAAAAGATTCAGAGTTGAACCAAAATAATAGCATTTTAAATATGTCTTATAAATTGGATCCTTATCAATTCATGTCATTACCTTTTCTAACAAGAATAACTGAACAAAATTTTGGGAATACATTAAAAAATTTGAAAATAGAAACTGGTGATTTTGTAATTGAGATAAAACAGGAAGGTAAAAATTATCACTGGTTATCAAATTACTTTCATTATAATGCATTGACCCCTTCCAGAGGAAATATTGGTTTGAATAACCTAGGTAATACATGCTACATGAACTCAGCCTTACAATGTTTAGTTCATATTCCTCAACTTCGTGACTACTTCTTATATAAGGTTTTCGAGAAGGAAATAAACCTAGACAATCCATTAGGTTATCAAGGGCATGTTGCTAGATCATTTGCTATATTGATTCAAAATTTATTTAAAGATGAATTGCTTCCTTCGTTATCTTACTCGCCAACGACTTTCAAATCTACCGTGGGCCACTTCAATTCTATGTTTTCAGGCTACTTGCAACAAGATTCCCAGGAGTTCATAGCATTTTTATTAGATGGATTACATGAAGATTTAAATAGAATAACCAACAAGCCTGTTGTTGAAAAACCCTCCCTAAAACCAGAAGACGATGTCAGCAATCAAGAGGTGATCAAGAAATTAGCAGACGATACTTGGAATTCCCATCTTCTCAGGAACGATTCGATCATTACAGATATCTTTGTTGGATTGTATAAATCAACACTTCACTGTCCAGAATGTGACAATTTATCTGTAACATTCGATCCTTATAATGATTTGACACTTCCATTGCCTGTTGATACTAAGTGGAATACTAAAATAAAGTTATTTCCTCAAAATTCCCCACCATGCATAATTGAAATAGAAATGGAGAAGACTTCGACTTATCAAGAGTTAAAGGAATATATTGCAAATCTAGTAAAAATGAATCCAAGTGATTTATATGGTTTCGAAATTTTCAACCATCAATTTTACAATAGTTTTGATTCTGATAAATCTAATTCTAATTATTTACCTCTTAAAGAATTGATTTCTGATGCCGATGACATCATCTTCTATGAAATTAAATCTTCCTCACCAGCCGATATGGTTGTCCCAGTTATTAATACCAAATTAGAAGAAGGCTTCAAGAACCCAAGATTATTTGGTGTACCATTTTTTGTCACTTTAAAAGAAGACGAATTAAATAATCCCGCTGCTATTAGAAAAGTTATCGAGACTTCATATACCAGATTGAGTGGTGGATTTGTGGAATTTCCTCTTCTTGAATTAACAGAAAACAGTTCTATTGAGATGTTTCCATTAGTGAAAGAAAAGTACCCGACTATTAATTTTGGGAAATATAACCCACTAATAGAATTAGCTAATCCCGATATGTCTGTCGACGAGTACTTCAAACTTAGATTGATGGAACTTACTCCAAATCAACAAATAAGAAGCAGGAATGCAACCTTTAATTCCGATAATGGCTTCAGAAATGATGTTTGGGTCCCATTATCTCATATTAATATCAATAAAGCTATTGATATTACCGGATATCTTGATCCAGTTTCAAGAAATATTTACAACTATTTGGATTTGAAGAATAAATTTATAGAAAAGGATCAAGGATCCGATGATTGTGTAGAGGAAAACGATGATACGAAGTCTAGTACTGATGATAATGAGGAAGAAAGCTTGGCAAAAGATAATGATAGTGAATCTAGAGCTGAATTTATCGATCAAGATACTGATATGTCAAATAATGATTTGATACCACAAATTCTAAAACCTACTACGTTTATATTAGCAGAATGGACAGATGAATCAGCCAATCGAGTATTTACCCAAGATAAAGTGGTTGACTGGGAAACACCAGCTGAATTAAAGAACATCGCCTTAGAAGATGAAAGAAAGAAAAGACAGATGGATGGAGAAAAGAAGATAACTCTGGATGATTGTCTAAATCTATTTGCTAAGAAAGAAGTTCTGGGAATGAACGATTCTTGGTACTGTCCAACGTGTAAGGAACATAGGCAGGCAACAAAACAACTTCAATTATGGTCCACACCAGATATTCTGTTGATTCATTTGAAGAGGTTTGAAAATCAAAGCTCTTTCAGTGATAAAATAGATGATACAGTTTATTTCCCGATAACTGATTTGGATTTATCTCCATATGTAGTAAACAATGATGAGTCTAAGAGTACAATTTATGATTTAGTTTCTGTTGACAATCATTATGGTGGTCTGGGAGGAGGTCATTACACAGCTTATGTCAAAAATTTCGTAGATAAGAAATGGTATTACTTTGATGATTCAAGGGTAACAGAGACTGTTCCTGAACGAAGCATAGCAGGCTCTGCATATTTATTATTTTATATGCGTAGGTCGGATAATACTGTAGGTGGTGAGGAGTTAAAGAATCTGATATTAAAAGCACGTAGTGAATTTAACTTAAAACTCCAGGAATTCTCAAAAAGACAAGAATCTTTGTTCTTGACCAACCAGACTGATGAAGAAGATACGAGTGGTGAAGAGGACAATGAAGATGATACAGATTCTAGACTTAATTTAAATGAGGCCGACAAGTCAGATTTCCCAGTAGAGGACCAGTCTGGGTCTAGTAGATCTACGGATTATAGCATTGAAAGCATGGAAGTTGGATATTCGAAAGCAAACGAAGTCGACAACACTAATGGTGATAATTCTGGAAGGAGGAAGTTACGGATGTTAAATAAGAAATATAATGTTTCTACAGCCAATTCTCCAGCATCCCTTTCTCCTTCCGAGGATTCGGATGGAAATAGTGTAAGTATAATCAGATCTGAATCCGACTCTGTTTCTACCCCAGGTAGCGATGAAGTTGCCAAATCACCTGTAAAAGAATAAGAATGCATTATGTAATATAAATAGTCATTATAGTAAGAATTTTTTAGACAAAATTTAATAGAAAGAAATATTAAAGTGAATATAAGATACTATTAATATATAGACTCTTTATAAAATAGGTGGAAATAATTGTTTCGTTACTTATTCAACCTAGTCATCAATGTCTGGAAACTACTTCAGAATATACAGGGATACTTTCGGCAGCACCGTTTCTCTGGATAGTTATAGAACTTGCTGAAGTTGCAAAATCGATTGCTTCTTTCAATGAACTTTGTTGATGTAATTGAGTGACGACAGCGCCCAAGAATGTATCACCTGCACCAGTAGTATCTACAACGGTAATACCAGATTTTGCAGGTTGATATTCTACTATTGGCTGATCCTTTGAAGAATATAGAACACCTTTTGAACCTAATGTAATAATTACTGCAGATAACCCATCTTTGTTGACTAAATGCTTTTGAAATTTTTCACATAGGGTAGTATAACCCTTAACAAAATCGTGGTTTATTTCCGATTCATGTTTTGCAATTTCATCCTTTGAATAAACAGAATTTACAATTTGTAATGCTTCAATTTCGTTAACAATTAATACATCGATTAGAAGCCAATCGCCTTTATTCAATGGTTGGAAAGGAGAAGGGTTGAAAACGATCTTATAAGTTGGGAAATTGTTTTTCAATAAGCTCATAATTGAAATTGGATTCGGAATCTCATGTTGCAGAACAACGAATTGCTCTTCATTATTGGAAACATTGTTAAAAATTGACTTTAATTGTTCCAATGAGTAATCAGTTTTTCCATTCGCACCTTCAGTAATTAAAATTCTATTTTGTCCACCATTTTGCTGCTCTACGAGAATAGTAGCAATGCCAGTCTTAACATCAGAAAGAATACCAATGTCATCGATGTTAACATTATTTTGTTTCAAAATGTCTACTAATTCTTTTCCAAATGAATCGTCACCTACATTGCCAACCATTTTAATACCATAATTAGAATCAGGATGTTTCAATTTAGCTATAGCAACAGTTTGATTTAAACCTTTACCACCAGTATGAGTTTCGAATAAATTTGCCCTTATAGTTTCACCCGCATTTGGTATTTTATTGGTATAAGTAACCAAATCATAATTTAAAGAACCAATGATTGTAATCCCCATTGCTTCGCAAGAATTAATTGTCTACTTATTCAATTGATCAATAGATAACCAAAATAACCAATTAGATTAATAAATAGCACCAAATTCCACAAGATCGATGCTATATCTAGCAGATTCGAATGATATATCTTATTATAAGAGTATAGTAATAAGTTCGAATATGACCGTATATCACTTTTCGAATAGTTGAAATTGTTTGTATGGGGGAAGGGAAAACGGGTTTAACTCCATGGAATAAAAAGAAAAAAGAAAAGAGCATACAAATTACGTGTTGCATTTAAAAATCACATGGCCCATCGTAATTAATGATCTCTGGTATTCACGTGATTCATTTCAAAAAAGAAACGAGATCTTATGAATCGCTATACACGGATCATCGCATTAAAAAGTTTCAATTGAAACTTTTTAATGCGATGATGAAATCAACCAAATTTTGAACAGTATTTAATAGTAATCCATCATATAAATGAAGATAAGATGGGATATAAGTACCCTAATTGCTGCAATATAGTTGGATACAGGTCATTGATGGACTGAATTATTTTGCCAGAGTTTTTTGAATTAGGAGGTTTGAGTTAAATATGACTGATTTCGAGACAGTTGATGTCTCACAAGTATCGTTCCCACCAGAGATTCTAGCAAAAATATCCCCAGAGTTATCTTTGCAAAGACATTTGAGTTTAGGATTAAGACCTAGTTTACGTGCATTTGAAGAATTTAGAGATGTTACTATCTCAGAAGATAAAATCTCCCATTTTTCTGGTTTTGAAGGAGTGTCTGAGAGTAATGATATTTTAGGTTTTAACGTTTTAAAAAGTGGTAAAACCATAGTTACTACTACTATTACCGGTGGAATTGTTGAAAACATGGTACCAATTGAATCAGACGATATTGGAGAACAAGAATTATTGGAATTGACAAAAGCTAGAGATGAACTAAATCAATACGTTGCCGTCTTTCCCAATGTGACAATTGAAAAAGGTAGAAAAAATATACCTCCAACACAAGAAGAGATTACTTTATCTCAAAGATTGCACGACAATGTTCTTCATTCTGGAATCATACCAAAAAAATCACTAAAAGTAAAATGTGGTTTACGTTCTATAGATTCAGAGGGTAATATCAATATTGTATACCCTGATGAACTAGATGACAACGATATTGTAAAAGATACTTTTAAACAAATTTCAGATAAAAGATCATGGTCATATGTTTTATATGCAAAGATAGTGGTATTTGGTAGAACAGGGCCATTGCTTCCATTGTGTTGGAACTCATTGATTTGTGCTTTAAAAAGTACAAGATTACCAAGAGTATTTTTAGATGAACGTGCTGCGAGGTTAAAGATGACTGTAAGAACAAGAGGTAAAAGTTTGACTGTAAAAGAAGCACATGACCTAATTTGTGATCCTAATAACTCACTGCCATTGGAAATGCATTCTTATGGTGTGGGTTTTGCCTCAAATTTTGGTATAATAGATATAGATCCAGAAGCACAAATAGGTGATGAAGATGATGATGACCAAGAGATGGTTACAAAACAACCAATTTCAGTTCTTTTAGCTGATATAGATACAGAGGCTGAAGAAGAAAACGTACGATCAGTTATAACAGTAATTAGTGATTCAGAAGGTAATTTAAAGAATCTAAATTTAGTTGGAGGTGGATCAAAATTAACTCTTGATATGATTAAAAAATCGATAAAATCCTCTAAAAGCAGATCTAAGGATTTAAGCTCAAAATTTGGCATGAATAAGTAAACTTTTTTATATATTTGCATAGTAATATAATACAAGACACTATCATTAAACAAATGGAGATTCCAATTCTTGTTGTATACTTAACAGGCACATGAATTTAATTTTAGGTTCATTGTAGGTAAATAGTTTAATAAAAATGGTTCGAAATGTTTAGACGTCATATATAAGTATATAAGTATATATATACCTTTATGTAACTAGTAGATAAAATGGTGGGTACCAACATCAAGGGATGCTGTACATGACAAATAGATTACTTTCTTTTTCTAATTTGAGGATCTGGAGAAGGAGATGGAGTTTGAACGTTCTGTAAATCGACGCTAACGTATTCATTAACCTTGGCAGCAACACCACCACGAACACGCTTGACAACTCTACTTTGCTTAGAGCCAGTACGCTTGTAAACATCAATATAGAAAGTGATGAATAATACTAAATAGGATGAGATGATGAAGAAACCGGCAAAAGTGGCAGTAGTAGAACCAACACAATCACCACAATATGGCAAACTGTCAGCCATATATAGATGAACGAATTTTTGGTATACTGCGAAATAGATGAATGCAATATCTAAGACAAATTGAATAATTTGGAATCTAGTTACCCATTCTTTCCACCAAACTCTGATACCTCTAGCAGCCAAGAAATAGTACCAGTACATAACAACGTGAACACCTAAGTTTAATGTGATTGGAACCCAGGAGATAGAAGTAGTACCAACTAATTGAGTGTAACATAATAAAGCAGTTGCACCATGATGATAGGTATGTAAAAATGTCAATTTCTTTTTCTTTAGAACTAAAAATACAGTGTCAATAAATTCGATGAATTTAATAATGTAGTTGAAATAATACAAAGTAACCATTGGTTGAGTCCATGCACCAATATTACAAATGGCATAGAAAATACCATGTCTATAAAGAATTGGAATTAATTGTTCGATCATTAAAATTAATAATGAAAAGGAGATAGATGTTAAAAATAAATTATGAATTTGGAATAAAAAGTGAAACTTAAATGGCTCTCTTTCTCTCATTAGCTCTCTACCACCGAAGATAACTACATAATAAGTGATAATTGCAGTAATTACTTGTGGCAATTGACTCATTGGTAATTCACCAGCAATGAATTGAAAGTTTTCTGGAACAAACTTGCCATTGGTCCAAAGAGTAACATATTTATTAAAGTTTTCCCATAATGATATATTAAAAAATGGACGTTCTAAAGTTGGATAATGCTCATATAAGAATGGGCAACCCAATATGGTAGATTTTGAGACAGCTTCTTCGATTATAGTTGAATTCATTTTTATAACAATAAAATGTATATATAAATATATTTAACTAGGCTCAACTTTATTATATTTTCTTTTATATTGTTACAAATTAAAGACCCAATAAATTACTGTTTTAATTCCTGTATTATAATTGAATTTATTAATATTATTAATATTATTTTTATTATTGATCTCCTTTAAATAATCTGATAGATCTGTAAGAAATTAATTTGCAATTTCTTTTCAGCCTATTTCTTGCTAATGACTAACTTAACGAAAACAAAAACAAATAAAATGATAAAGAGGAAAGAAGTATAACAATGAAAAATTTAAATCGTTCTTCCTTGTCTTATTTAAATTAAATTTTAACAGAGTAAACGAATTAGCAGATTTATACTTCCAACTGGAAAAATATTCCCAAACGTAATGCAATGGGAAATATAACAATTACCCAACAACAATGGCAAATGACCCTCCAAATACAAACAAATTTGCTAATCAGTTTCGAAAAAATATCAGCAAAAAACTAAATTTTTTGTTGTTGTTTACATCACATCTCTCTGAGTAAAGTTTACTTGACATCACAATTTCGAAGTGATTTCGAGAAAAGTTTCACGACCAAATCAAAAAAATATTCCAAAAGAAACGAAAACGAAAAGAAACGAGCTTTCGGCTTTCGAAGGAAAAAACTTATGCAAATTTTCTCACGTGATATAGTGGATGATGAACAGAAACAATTCAAGGAGAATAATTTGCGATGAGGATAAACAAAGTGATGTCGTTTGGATCCTCAAGAAATTTGCTTTTGATCTTTGTTCTGTTTTTTGAGGTGATGTAATCTGAAATTAGCCAATTTAATTAGCATTTGCAGTTGTAGTAGTCGATTATTGGTTGCTGTTAGTTGATTTTGGTGGGGAAGATGTAGAGGCTTCAGGGAGTAAAGAAGCCATTGTTTCTGGAGCAGATGCGATTGCTGCTAACGCAGCTAGGGGATCTTTTGAGAAATTGAATGATAATATATTATGTTCCTGGATTGTAGTTGCTTGTTGTGGAACTTGTATGTTTGCTGTTGTACCTACCTGTTGATAAGAATTTGTAGCAGCAGTGTTGATCGTAGCTTCTGGTGAAACTTTTGCGCTTTGTAACATTTCTGAAATCGGGGTGGGTAAAATATTTTCTTGTGAAGTAGTAACATTATTTTGACTTTTTATTTGTTGCGAGACCTTGTACCCTGTAGATGAGGACGATGAAGGTGTTGTTTCTGTACGCAAACTGCTGGAAACGTGACCGGTCAAAAGTGTATTGTTCCCAATGGCAGTCCTTGTGGGCGGTAGAGTACTCGTCTCTGTGTTCAATAGTGATGTAATAGAGGATCTTGGATTTGATGCAGACAACTGAGGTTCTTGAACGATTACATGGTTAACATTAGATTGTAAGGGAGGAAGATCCACATTTCTTACTTCATTCGGTGGTGAACTGAAACTGTTTAAAAGATCAGAAATTCTTGAACCACCAGAACTATTGTTTCCAAAAGTAGTACTTGATAATGCTATCTGAGGTTTACTGCCAGTTGGCATCATGGTTTGGCTTGTTCCTGCTAATTCATTTCTATTCTCACTAACAGACTGTTCGAATGAAGAAGGTCTTCCTAACTGAATCGAAGGTAAGCGGGGCAAAGGCAACGCAACTGCTGGTATAGACGATTGAGTAAATAAGTCCTTACCAATAGTTTCCGGAGCAAATGGCTGTTGTACTGAAGATGGCATAGAAGTACTATTACTTCTGCTTCCAGGATTATCAGGGCTTGAAAAGAATCCCAATGCAGGTTTTTGTTGTGGTGGAATACCATTTTGAATTCCCATATGGGCAGTTTGTCCAGCCTGAATTAGTATTTGTGATTGTCTAACAGAACCAGAAGTAGTGACGTTTCTTTTGGAATCCGCATCCTCTACAATTAACTTCCATCCAAGTTGTGCAGCATTCCTTTGATAATAGTTTCTTACCATAGTGGTAGATTTTGTTCCTAAAGCATCAGATATTAAAGACCATTGAGAACCATGCTTTTTTAACAATTCAGGGAATAGGTTGGCCTCTTTAACACTCCAATAACTGGATTTGTGTTCAGCACTTTGCTTCATCCTCTTCCTTTGATTATGGACACCATTGATATCTAGACCACTAGACTCATATTGGTAATCGTTGTATAATGATGAATCTTGATCATCAGTCTCTACGGCATTCGATTCCTCCTTTATATCTGTTTCGCTAAGTGGTCTCTTATTTTGTAAAGTATCTTCACTCTGGATATTTTCTTCAGGGACTTCTTCTTCTGTTATAATGTTCTGTGTCATCACTGTTTCTTTAGCTTGAGGTTCTACAAATGGTTCTGCAGTTTGGATAGATACTTGTTCGATTTCCTTACTTTCATTAGGTTTTGTTTCCTTTGAAGGTTCTATTGGAACAGGAACTTCCACTATCTCATCTACGGTGACAGAGACTTCTTTTATTTCATTAGTTTGAACTTCAATTTCTGTTTGTTCCATCGATGAAACTTCATTATTTGTTGTCGTTTGCTCCAAAGGTTTTTCAATAGGTTTGTTTTTAACTTGTTCAATCTTTGTCTCTTCAATTTGTTCAATCTTTGTCTCTTCAACTCTTTCAACTTTAGTCTCCTGAACTGGTTGCGGTGGATTTTTTGCAGAAATATCTTCAACTTCTTGAGTATAAGTAGTATCGATGTCAGTAATTGACTTATCTTCTGTTTCTAATTCAGTAGATTTTTCCTTCTTTTTACGGGCTTTCTTGATTCCTGTTCCACCCTTTCTCTTTTTATTCCTTTCCATCATTAGTTTCTTATAATCAACCTTTCTTTTTGTCCTATAATAATGCAAAACACATTCTTCTGGTGTTCTTAAATTGCCAATATATGCAGATATTTTTCCAAATTTTTTCGGATACGTTAAATAAGCTTCGATGAAAAGCTCATGTTCTCGTTCTGTAAAATTATCTATGCCTTCAGTTAAAACTCTTGCACTCCACATGTCCTTATCGGTAACCAAATTGTTTACATCTTGGAATTTCATTGAATACTTTTCTAATGGATCAATGGTCATAGCTGGAATTGCTGCAGCATTTTGATGGTGTTTGTAATCGGGATCAATTTGTAACAGAACACTCTCCATATCTGTATCATCAACAAAATCAGCACGATTTCTACGCCTCGAGGAAGAGTTAGCCTTGTACTGTTCTTCCATTAATTCCTTTTCACGTTGCAGCTTTTCTTGTTGTTCCTTTTCCTTCATTTTTTTATGTTCTAACTCCTCGCTTCGTAGTTCATTGCTGATGTTATCTAGTTCTTCACATTCCTCATCCCATTCCTTCTTTAAATTTAAATATTCTTTAGTCAGCTCTAACTTGCGAACATATGTATACCTTTTGGTTTTTGAAAGAGCCTGAAGAAGCATCGGTTTCAATGCTTGGTGATAGATTAATACATTTTCTTTCACAAATGGATACTCATTGATATTTGTTATAGGATTTTTGAGTAAATACTTTTGCTTTGAAATTATTGACTCTCTTTCTTGATTTTTTAACTCCCATAATCTTGTTTCAGCCTTAAGCATTGGAAATATACAAGAATTAATCTGATTTATTGGTTCAGTATAACCCACAGGCACAGGTAAACTCGCTTTAACCTTTTCAAAATTAGTCTTCAAAAGATTAGGATCATATAAGAATTCATAGTCAGCAATTAAGGAAGGTGTTGGTACTCTCTTAATTTCTGTTTTTTCTGGCATTTTCGTTTCTTCTGATGATAATTTTAAACCAGGGATCGTGCTTTCGGATGCAATAGCTTTAGATTCTACCAAGTTTTCCTTGGATGGAGTTGTAGTAGGATGTATAGGAGGAGACCATAAATAAGGTTTAACTGTTTTTTTAGCTTTAGCTTTTGTAGGAGTTGATGGTAGGTTTATAGGGATAATCTTTTCGATCTGAATTTCGTCACTTTTCTTATTTAATTTTTCATTTTTGAACAAAGGTGAATTGGAAGAGTCCGAACTATCCATAGTAGGTTCATTTTCATCAATTGATTCTCCAACTTTGATTTGATGTGCTACTGAATTAATTAAACTGGACCCTAATGAATGTGGATTTGAAGCTGCTGTGGAAAGTGTAGGTTCACTCTTTTTCAACTGCTCTTCTTGCAATTGTTGGTCTAATTGTGATTGCTCCATCTCATTATACTTGTTTAACTTTGCTATTGGGTTCGGATTATAACGCTTTGGAGTTGGTGCAACATAGGATGAAGTTAAATTACTTGAATATTTATTTCTTTGTTGTTTCCATTGTAAGGTTCTGGTTGATGATGGAATATCCTTTTCTCCAAAGCTGTTTGGAGTTGTAGTCGTTAATGGTGAATTCCCAGTATTACTTGTAACAGGCGAATTAGTATTTTTCCATCTTGGACTTGAATTATTTATTAATCTTGAATACGATGAATTTGGATCATTAGTTGCTGTTGAAATATTATTTGTATTTGAAGTTTGATAATTATGTGAAATATGATCTTTACTTGAATCGATTGACCTTGGCCTACTTCTATTTGCAGAGGAGAAATGAGAATTTATTGAACTTGAAATATCAGTGGAAGAGGAAGCCGGTGATGAATTATTGAAATTCGAAATGTTTGATATTGAATTTTTGGATTGAGGATTGTATCTGCTTCCTGAATATCTTGAGATATTTGTGCTATCGTTAGTATGTTGTTGACTTGGTGGTTTTTCCTCTGGATTATATCGACTTCCTACTCTGTTACTTGAAGAAGGTCTACTTATTGAATTTGGATCGTATCTCGAAGTTTTCATTGAATTAAAATTCGTGCTTGATTTACTACTAGGGATCAAATTTGGATTATTCGTCACGGTACTATATAAATGTGGGCCCATATTTTGATTTGAATATGAATTTTGAGAATAACTATGATGAGAGTTGTTACCAGAAGAACTCATAATAGGACTGTTACTTGATAGATTACCATTTTGATATGAATTATGTTGATTTTTTTTCTGGTAGTTATTACCGGGAAGTGGACTTCCGTGTCTTATATTTGGATTATTTGAATAATAGTATCTTTTCCTTTCATTGCCACTTGAAGACCCTAGTCTACCACTATTGGGTGATGAAGTTGATGAAGTATTTACCATTTGGGAAGTTTCTATTTTTATTTAATTACAACTAGGAAAGAGTTCAATTCTTTCTGTATTATTATTTGATTTTGGCTTTTGAAAGACAAAAATGGATGAGGCTCACAGACAGATTAAAGTAGACTCTTGTTTATTTTTCTAACAAATTTATTTCACCAAATGTTTTTGGAAATAGATATAATGAAGTAATATTACAATGCAAAATAAATTTAGTGTGATATGAGTACTGTGAGGACAAAGAGCTTGGTCGAAAAAAAAAAGCTCGATATGTTTATTTATATTCACACACGTACGATTTTCTACTGTGATCAAAAATGTTTGGATCAAAAGGAGTTTATAGTTTCTTCCTTATATATGAATAAAATCAAAAGAGTTTTGAAAATATTGATATAAAATATGTCACTTTTAATAATGAATAATCGAAAGGAAACAAAATTTTCTTAAACCAAAAATAAAAAAGTAAAGAAATAAAAGTAGAATCACCTACTAGCAAATTTAAAATATATCACACTGCTGATTTGAAGATTTGGTCTATTTAAATCATAAAATTGAAGTTCAAAAGTATCCACTCATAACTAGTATAATTTCATTTATAAATAGTTAAATCAGCACTTAATATTTTAAATGTTGTTATCATTTGCCATAAAGTTAACCGTTTCTTTGCAATCATTTCTGACTTTTCCCTTGTTAAGAAAAAACTCAAAAAAGAAACTGCGAATTAATGTGTGTCTAATTCCAAATTGTTCATTTAATTCATCGATTCTCTGTTCGTCCTTGGTGATATAGTAACGTGACCAAAAACTTCCAATTGGGAAGGATAAAGGATGATATAGTAGGAAGAGATTAAATGAATGAGTGTCAGAGCAAAGCAATTGGAAAGGTCTTATATCAGGCAATTGGGTTTAAAATGTTGATCTTGAGTTAGTAAAATTTCAAATATAATTCAAACATCTTGAGTTAATTTTGCCCAAGCAAACTTCTGCTCCTCCTTTTGTGTTTTTTTTTGCCCTTTGCCTGACTTATCAGAAACTGAACCCATCATATACAGAGCAACAATAAAGAGAACATTTCCAAATATTGCATTGTAACTGCTGTAATTCTAATGAATAATTTGTATATATGTAGGTGCAATTCGAAACTATTCCTTTCGATTCGATATTTTTGTGATTTTTTTAACTTTTATATCTGGAGACTTCATTTTTAAAAAAAGAAGATCATCAACTTCGTATAGGCCCAACAAAATGTTAATCTTAATGTCCTTACTTAAATAAATACCTAAAAAATGCACTTGATGTTGTATTCTTTAATTTAGTACTAGTGAGTTGTGAGATATTTTGTTCAATCGAGACATCGTTAAACCAATGTCAGCTTATTTGATATAACCTGCTTTTGGTTTAATTTTAACGGTTCCTTGCTTCCAAATTTAGATAAAGACTAAATAGAGAATAACTATACATCTTATGCTAAAAAATTAAATTATCTATCTATATACACTAACTGTAATTGTTCTTTCACTGTGTTCTTAACGTCATTTTCAGATCGTCCATGTTTCCATGTAATTAATCACAATTACTTCAATGTGTCGGTTGCGTCATTCATACTATCCATAAGGTCACTTTGACAAGGACATCATTCTGATAATGCAGTTAACGAAACATACATTTAAATAGTTCGATTACAGATGTTAACTTATTCATCAAAGTTATCTCTGTGCTCATATACAAAAACGTTCATGCTGCGAAGTGGCGGCGGTTAACAAATCAGAAACAGACTCCAACTATGATCATTGTTCACGGACTAAAACCCTATTTCACTATAGACACCGTTTACTATGCGAGGTAATGATGTAAAGAGAGACAACGCATCCCTCTGATCACGTTTTAGGCCAATTGAAGTGAATGAAAATTTTTTTTATTTTTCAACAAAATTCGAAATCGTATATAAAGGACGACGTATTTCGAAAGTTGGATTGGAATATTTAACTAGTCTTTCACATTTTTATGTTAATTTTTCTTTGTTTTTCTTCCATTGTTAGAGCTAATACCACAAGAATTCGAACAAGTTTATAAGGATGTCTAAAGGTACGTCTAGGGGTGATTTCCCGATTGAAACCGAGTTTAGTGTATCCTTTTAAAAGTTGTTTTATAAAATACGCACTGTCGTGCTGTTACCATTATCAATTGCTTGAATTAGCAGTTGATAGTGTTTAAAGTGATGGCTCATTGTGTAGTATGACATGAACACAGAAGAAATATAATGTTAAATCTTTTTTTTTGAAATTTATTAAGTTTTGTCGGATGACAACTCATTAAATTTCTTTTGTGCATCAGTTGATCTGATATGACCTTTCATTGTCTGCATGTTTTATGCTACTTTTAAAATTGATATTATACGCTTAATCTCTTATTTGCCAAGTCTAAATATTTAATACTAACCATCAAACTTTATATTTTTGTTTATAGATTTATCTCAAGTTTTCGGTGTTGCTAGAATTTTCGCCTCTTTCAACGATACTTTCGTTCATGTTACCGATTTATCTGGTAAGGAAACCATTGCCAGAGTTACCGGTGGTATGAAGGTTAAGGCTGACAGAGATGAATCCTCTCCTTACGCTGCTATGTTGGCTGCCCAAGATGTTGCCGTTAAGTGTAAGGAAGTCGGTATCACTGCTGTCCATGTTAAAATCAGAGCCACTGGTGGTACTAGATCCAAGACTCCAGGTCCAGGTGGTCAAGCTGCTTTGAGAGCTTTGGCTAGATCCGGTTTGAGAATTGGTAGAATTGAAGATGTCACTCCAGTTCCATCCGACTCTACCAGAAAGAAGGGTGGTAGAAGAGGTAGAAGATTGTGAGTATGCTATTGTTATATTTATCACTCGCATATTTACTTTCATATATATACTAAATATATCAATTGTATATTATTCTTTTTTAATACGTTTCTGCATTTTTTTATGATAATTTTCCCGCGACTTACTGACATGTTCAGTCCTTGTTTGAATTCTTACAGGTTGCATTAGATGCTTTATATGTATGTAAATATAAAAGTGTATGTGACAGTAATGCTATTGAAAGTTAATGATTTAAAATTAGATTATAATTTAAATATGTATATACTAAATACAATTGCTTATGATAAGTAAGTACATTTAGCTTAGTAAACGAAACCCAAAATCTTACCAGAAACGTGCTTTCTTCTAGCTTCTTCGTGGTCCATAATACCGGCAGAAGTAGTTAAGATAACGTAACCGAATTGTCTAGCTGGCAACAAGTTAGCAGTCCATTTTTCAATGTCATCAATCTTGACGTTGAATCTTGGAGAGATAACACCACACTTGTTCAATCTACCGTTCAATTGAACGACAATCTTACCAGATCTGTGGTCATCAATGTATTCGAATTCACCAATGTAACCGTGTTTTTGGATAACTTGCAAGAACTTGATGATAACCTTGGAAGATGGTCTAATCAAGACTTGACGCTTACCAGTCTTTTCAGCGTTGTTAATAGCGTTCAAAGCATCGGCTAAGACAGAGGTTCTAGTCATTTTTGGAGCTGCTGTTTAGTTGGTTACTTTAAAGCAAGATAATAATAACTACAACACGTATTTAAAAACCTAAATATACTTAAATACCAATTAACCTGCCCTTCTATAGTATTATCAGTAATCAAGAAACTAAAGTCACTCACTGTATACAATATTTCTTGCCAAACTGCAAGAACAAACATTCCATTGTAAACCATGGATGGTCTCGTGGGAAATCAATTCCATACACCAATCAATAATGAATTGAATTGAATATGAATTGACAAAACAAGAGTTTCATCACTAACCAAAATCCAACACATCTACTATCATCTAGCTAATACCATCATAACCAGAGAGACCTTTCATGTTGGTTACATTAGCTGATTGATTGATGTTTGGTGGAAGCGATGAGGTGAAAAACTTTTTGGTGCGTTGCTTCATTCTCGTCAAAAAGTGAAAAACACAACAACAACATAGAATATCACATTGACATTACAAGTGACTACATAAATATTAAGCAATGTAAGGATGTAACAATCCATTTTTAAATTTTTCATAGCGCGGTGTGTGGTGGGGGATCCGATTGTGCCGCAGGCGGTCCATTTCAAAAATGGAATTTTTTGCTTTCTTGTTTTTTTTTCCCATTCATTCCTGTCCGCTTGCTGTAATTGACTTGTAGTTCTGTCCCAGAAGAAATTAGCCGGAACCGTGATGGACAAGTAGTTTGTTTCTCTCTCTACCGCTAGACAGAGATTCCTTTCTGGTTTTCTCGCCAACCTCCGCCTAAAGTTCACTTTTCCTTGTTAACCCGTCCCACTAGTTTTAGAAGGATGGGACTGTGTATCTGCCGGTTGGCACTGTGTTGATGCAAGCAATGAGAGGAGAACCAGACCCAGTGAAATTTTTCAAAGTTTCAAACAGTAGTTGTTCAAAGAGTAATAATACAATATCGAACAAACTAACTAGTGGTTAATGTATACTTTGCTAGGCTTGTGAAGGCTAGGATGGATGTGATTGATGGGATACCTGATGTATTGAGAATATAGAGTATCTCTTGTTATTGACAGAGAGTTGTTGATGTGATATCATGTAGTCAACAGTTGATAGATATTCTAAAATTTAGTTGTAAATTCTTATTTAAGAAGAATAGGTATTATTTTATATATGTATATTGTAGTTATTAATTAAGGTTAATAGTCGTTGTATCGATAAGGACAGTTAAGTTAGACAAATATGCCTGTATGTTTGATATATTACGAATGGATATAGTTTACGAGTCGTTAGAGCTGCAAATTGCTAGATAAATATTGAATTTAAGACCAATGTTAATGATTAATGGTGATATAATATAATATGATACTACTGAAGAGATATAAAGTTTACCATCACTATACGTTGTAGCATTTTTATATGAATTGAAATGAACTTTGGAGGATTATAGACAATTCTGGAGATGAATGATACATATTTACGGATTAGATAGCTTTAAATGAGATATCTGATGATGGCTAATTGGTAGCTCTAATGACCTATATTTTTGTTTTACAATTATGAAATAGAAATACTAACAATTTTAATATAAATATTCATTATTATTATTATTTTTACTTTAGGCTCAAAAAAGTTTCAAGATCAAGCAAAGATTGGCTAAGGCTAAGAAGCAAAACAGACCATTGCCACAATGGATCAGATTGAGAACTGATAACACTATCCGTTACAACGCCAAGAGAAGACACTGGAGAAGAACTAAGTTGAACTTCTAAGCAGATGCTGCTCAAGATTATCCATATTTTTTAAGCATATGTTTTTAGTAGTTATATAGTTTTAGTATAGTAATACTACAGTAGTTTTGTATTCACTCTTTAAGATTAATATTTGTAGCAAACTTAACCTCTTGATTTAGGTAGATTCCTAATAGCTCATCACAACTGTGTGGCTCTCAAAAATACTACTAGGGACAAACATTTATTACAACATCACTGTCAAGAACCATTGCCATCCTAGAACAAGGCACCCAAGAATATGTCTACAAAATTCAATTAATCTCAAGAAAACTAATCTATATAAAGAATTAACACATATATCAGAGAGATTCCCATTGTTCATTAACACCGCAATCACTAAGCAAATAGCTCTCAGATACTATCTAGCATAAAAGTGTTTGAAGACTCATCATTATATGTTATTTAATTAATATACATTAATTATAATTTTTCAGTAAGTAATAATGAAAAATTATTTAGAACAAGAGACCAATTTCATAGGTCACTTGGAAGACGAACTCGTCTCCTAGAACATTAGATCCAGATCTTGATTTTGCAGGATCCTACTGACCTATAAATTCTAGCCATCAAACCAGAAACAAAGCATCAACAATTATAAAGAGTAGTTAAAACTTTCTTAAATCTAAAATTTTCTTGCCTTTTTATACCCTGACCTTTGACGAAAATTGTGCCGGTGGACATTTAGCCCAAGAGAAAAAAATTATATAAAGTTTTATATTAGGGTTATTTATTATTACATATTGTTCGTAAAACTATGAGATAACACAGGGGGGGTATATAAAGTCAAATATATATCAAAATGCTAGGAGAAGAATAACCATTATTATTTGAGTTCAATTAAAGGTTAAAAAGTTTGGTTTAGGACCATAATCATCTTCCTGAATGACGGCGCCAGCCTTTCTTGTCATTTCGACATAAATGCATTCTTCTGTATGTAAAATTTGTGCAGCAGTTGGTCTTTTCTTGTATTTAGGTTCTATCATCCATTTCACCATTCTATCTAGGGATTCTCCGTCGGTTAAGAATCTTGGAACCCAAGGTGGAATCTTTGGACGTTTGGAGGAACTGTTTGAATAGTCTGTTAAGTTAGTATCAACTTTTGAAGTGTTAGAGAATAATGATTCTGAGTGGATATCACTAGAACTTAGCCTACCAGCATCCGATAAATCACCAGATCTTAATTTATGCCAAGCGTATCCATTATCTGGTAGTACTACATTGGCTGCAATTTCTACAATAAGCAACCCCAATGAAAAGATATCAGCTCTATAATCGTATATACTATCTGATATAATTTCTGGAGCAATGTATTCTCGATCACCTTCATTTTCAAAACTTGTATCTTCTAGCGGTAAATGAGTAGCCATACCAAAGTCACCTAGTTTCAAGTTACCTTCAAATGTAATCATCACATTGGCAGGCTTTAAGTCCAAATGAACGATATTACACGAATCATGAATAAATCTAAGTGCTAAACATAATTCAACAATTATTTTCCAAATTCTCCAATCATCTAATCGTGTATTTTTAGCAATTACTTGCTCTTGTAAGAATTTATCCAAGTTTCCATTTTCACAATAATTTGTCATAACATAGAAGCAACTCTGATATTTCCATGAACTGATGAAGTCAATTATATATTCCTTTCCATCTTCATCAACCGGTTTTTCACTAATCTCTGACAGGATTTTAATTTCTTGTAATATACGTTTGAATGAGTTGTATTTATTCGGCTGCAGAGATTTAACTGCGTATTTCTTGTCAGTTTGTTCAAATGTAACCTGGTATACTTTTGAGAATTGACCATTGCCAATGACGTTTACATTAGTGAATCTGTCAAATAAATGAGCATCTGGGTTTGAAGATAATTTTGCGTTAATAAACCTCCTTGTTCGTACTGGTGATGGATTACCAGATTCTTCTGAATATAACTGTCCACTTCTTCGAGATTCAGGCGTTGATTTAGGTCGCGTTGGAGTTGTATGATTATTATTCGTATACGAATTAGAGTTTTGTTTCCCATACTGAGTTGGGGATGGAGAGTAATTGCTGTCTGAACCATAAAGTTCATCAGTAAATTGCTGAATGCTGTTCGTCAACTCATTATTTTGGAATATTACAGAGTTTCTTGACTTTTTTATTTTTTTATATCTATTAGCACTGGATTGGGATGCCAGTTTGTAATTTAATATTTTTTCCTTGTTAATATTCATGTTATGAATATTGCTTGGATCTTTATCTACCGCTGGAGATACTTCTTCCACAAATATATGGGGAGTTTTCTTAAAAGTTGGGGACTGAATGAATAAAGATGTGTTCTGAGTATGATTAATGTCAGCAGAATTCATATTTGGCGATTCGTCTATGGTACTTGATTGGAAATATATCGATGAATTTGACAATTGACTGTTATACATCAGCGGGGATTTTTTAACAGGGGTGTCTGGTATATGCAATTTTTTTGGATATGATGCTACTATTTTTGACATTTTCGATACGAGACCGTTTGATTTAAATACCGATTGATCTAGTTTTGCAACATTGTATGGTTTATTCGGTGATTTTTGTTTTGAGTCAAGCGTGTTTTGTATGTTTTCCTTATTATCACTATCCCAGTCATCATTTGAGGTCCAAGTTTTCTTTAAATTAGACGAAGGAGAGTCCACCGAATTGTTCGTTTGATTTTTATATTTCCATTTTCGTAGTATTTCTGGGTCATTAACGAATGGGGACAATTCACTTTTTGAAGCTGTTCTTTTGAGGGTAGGAGTAGAAGGGTTCTCCTCGTTGAATGGCGACCATCTATTTATGCATTCATCCACATTTTCTTCGCGTCTCTTGATATCTGCGGAACCCATATCTCTATTATTAGTTTCACAAACGTTTGTATTAATTGTGGGCAGATTAACATTGCTCAATGATAGATTGAAGGTACCGACACTTCTTGTCAGTTTATTATTTGCGTATGGATAGAATTTCAGTATATTTGAAGCTACACCATTCTGATCCTTTGAATCAAGACCTTGCTCTTGTTCATGCTCTGGTTCATGCTCATGCTCTTGCCCATCGTCGTAGTCATCCGACATCTCAAAATCTCCTTCATCGTCATATCTACCACTGTTGTAAACAGCATCTTCCTCCTCTTCCTCTGGCAGTCCATATATATCCCTGTCTCGAAGGTGGAACCCACTCATCTTGTTGTGAGCTAAAAACCTATTACAATATATCCACCAGCGACCAACAGAAAGGTATGACCTGTTGAACCAGTCCTAAGCTTAGTCTTGTTTTTTTATAATTTCCCACTCTTTTGGTTTGAGTTTCTCTCCAAGTAAGCCAACTCTGGATTATACCAACAATGCGAGTGTGGAGGGCCTTGTCAGTGTATTGGATCAAGCTCTCTTATGGGACCAAACCGAGTTAATTGCCAGCGATGGTACCAAATATACCAAACAGAAGAGATAAAGAGCTGAATAAAATAAAATAAAATAAAATAAAATAAACAAGTAGAAATTAGGGCCTTGGAGAATTCCAAAGAAGTTTGAAAACAGGTCCAATAATGAAATTGAAAACTATAAATCAAATCAAAAAAAAAAAGATAAAATAGTTTCGAAACTATCTATAATAACAGCACTATCATACTCATTGTAAGTATCACCGACATATAAATCAAAATCAAAATCGATATTGACATCGATATCTCTACTAGTACTATTGCTAATTATATTGTCATTGTTGTTATTATGGTCTGAAATTTGTAGTGAAACTTTTTGGTCAACAAAAAATAAAAAAAATAAAAATTAATTTTCGCGTCGCGTCGCACCAGACAAAAAGCAGAAATTTCTTTTTTTGGGATAAATTCTTGTGTTTTTGGCGCGTTGGGTGGCGCTAGCATGCGGTGGGCATGTGGTTGGAGATAATGAATGATAAGTCTTGGTCAGGATATGGTGGTAGATATGGATGTGGATATGGATATAGATGTGGTGCCAGTATGTCGTTTGTAAAGCTTCATTAATGAAATTAGTTTAGAATTGTCAAGGTACAGAAAAGAATAATTCACCTCTGATTCGAAATTTGGAATGACGTCATTGTGCGAGAAAGGGGAAGGGGAAGAGGAAGAGGAAGAGGAAGAGACGCAGAAGGGATACACTCGTTTTTGAATCATGGTGCAGTTTAGCCAAAGAGAGTTCTTCCACAAGAGATTTCGATATCTATCTGACTATAATATTCGAAGCCTCGAAGAAAATTTCATATCTGGTCTATAAAACTGTTTAATTGATGTCGGTACTTGTTGATGTAATTTTTAACATGACTACTATAAAAACAAAAATAAAATACGCATTTCAGAAATTTCACAAATATTTTAGTTTATAGGTCCCTCCCTTCTGACTCAAGTGTAAGGACATATCAATTTCTCACACAATTAACTACAAACAAACCATTCCATCTGTACAATCTAAACATGTACATACCATGTCTGTCTCATCCCATCTCATCTGTTAATATCGTCGCATTCTTCATTACGTTCACCTTCATTAAATTAGTATGCACAGGGTAACTGCAATATTTTCGTTTATCATACCAATCCCGCATTTTGAAATTTCGACATTACCAACAAGAGAAGAAAGAAGGACCCCTTTTGACAGGTTTATTACAAAAGTATTAATAACTTTTACAAGTTGTTTTCAATTTATAATGTTATCTTGAGTTCACATTTTATAATCTCTATTTATCTAGCAAGTTCTAGGATTTCATACAAAGGGAGATTGAGTTAGTCCATTATCAGAATTATACTTATTTTCTCAACAGGCAAGGGGAAAAGGAGTTAAGAAGATTCGAAGTAATTAAGGATTAGTGTTTTTTATCTTATCTATATATATATATTACCACCTTTTTGTAACAAGACCAAGCTATGACAGAAGTCAGAGATAGATACGCTAATAGTATCCTCACGTCGAAGTCTCCTTTCGAGGCCACTGAGACTATAAGAATAAGGCTTTCCGAAGCAAAACTTATCAATAGTGAATTTTACAGACTTTTCAAAGAAGTTTCGAAAGCTAGAGCTGCTTATGCCGCACAATTACACAAGATTGCCTCTGAGCATAAGAATCTAGAAGAAATACTAAAAGAGCAACTGGTTACTAATCAAGCTTTGACTGCCGAAGAAGTTTTAGATTACAATTTCGATTCTTTGGGTCAATTAAAGGACGTCTGGGGGTTAGCCATTAACTCAATAGAGAGAGATTCCAAGTCCTCTATAGAGTTTAATGACATTGTGAAGAGTGAGGTCCTATTGCCTCTAAAGCAATATGCCGAAAAGGACCCTACTTGGAATAGAAGTAGAAGATTACATGCAAGATTGTCCGATATTGCCACCAAAATTGATGTTGACTCTCAAAGTAAAGTTCCAGCATCCGAATTAGATGAAATCACTAACGAATGGGATGCTGACAGCAGA